TAGATCCTATCCAGGAATTGACTGCACTACAAAGAGCAACTCTGATGAATGATGATCCAGTCACGTGCTGCGTGTAATTCAACAAGCTGGTTGCCACGATTGAATTTCAGCACCGTGGAAGTCCTCACGCGCACATCTTGCTATGGCTGAACAAGGATCCCCGGGAAGCAATCAGTAAAAGTATGCCAAAAACTACAGGTGCAACAGTATCATGCTATTCATGCCAGTACTACTATCGGCCCTTTTCAGGGCCACCAAGATTTCCCAAAAGAGCTAAATTTCTGAACATGTCCCAACTTAAATTCATATCAAAAGCTTCTTTTCAGGACAATCATATTCATACTAAAGAGTATAAACAGAGAGAACCCCACTCAAATTCCTATTCCTACACAAAACACAAGTTCTGCTGCAGTTAACAAATAACATTTTTTATATAGAGACTACGTAGTCCGACGTCACCATTCGTACAACCCCAGAGGGCTATCTCTAGTATTTTTTTTTTCAAAAGTTCTTTCATCGATTTATCATTTAACGTAAAGTATCACATTAGAGCTAAAAAAATAACAGCTTCGACAAAAAAAAAAATCCGTAGAAATCCGTAGATTTTAATAAGTCTACGGAATTGCATAGAAAAAAATCTGGCATCTCTGCTGCCATCCCATCGTCCAGCAACGCCCGCTGGCCCGTCATCCGCTCGTTTCACCAATCTGGCGAGAGTTCCGGACGCACAGTAGGACAGGAGTCACTGTGTCGGCCATCCCGATTCACCATCATCGGCAGCAGCGGTATGTACCGGTACAGTAAACAACGCGATTAGGCTACACGACACATATTACACGAAATTATGAACACAGAACAATACGCACATAATACAGAAAGTGGCGAATAAATGCGTTTAAAGAAAAGTGAAAGTTCTTCGTTTTTGTATCACGAAACCCTCTGATTACCCGGTAGCTAGCCGACCCTGGGTGTTCCGGAGCTTGCTCTTGTCGCCTGAGTCGACCGGGTGCTGTATGTTTGATCTCCGAGTAGGTACCCGAGCAAAGCTGAAGATCAAATTGAAATCAAAATTTGCTGTTATGATGTAACTTATTTTGAATACTCCAGTTGATCTCATTTTGGTTGACTTAACGGTTAACACAGTAAAAATGAGAGCAACATTTTACACTGTTGAAGCAAACGGAAAACTAATACTGCTTTCAATGAAATCAATTTGTTTACTGATTTTGCATTCATAATGTTTAACTGAATACGGGCCTGGAGTAAATGGTTACCATTTATGTTTCTCAAGCTGAAAGACTTGGGCTCCAACCTCACCCCGGGCAAGTCACGAATGACCTAAAATGTGTTTAACAAATCAAATAAACAATAATCATTAGTTCAACGACAGATGAATTTCAATTAAATTTTAAACAAGACGTAAACAGCAGAACTTCAAGTTAAGTTGCTTTCATTTAAAAAGTTTTGACTGCATAATGAAAGCACAATATGATATCAGACTTATGTCGCAACATTTGAAATCAAAATGAGTTTTCATTATGATAGCAACTGCACACTTTAATATCGATTTGCTTTCATGTTGTTAACCGAATTTGCACGGGTAGTTGGTGAGTGCTGAGTTCTTACATCAGTTAAAATGTACACACGTTGTTAACGCTAGATTTGGCATACATTTACACGATGTTTGATGTAAATTTAATCACAATACCGCAGAAATCAGCAATGTAGGATGGTAATAACCCAACTAACAATTTTAGCTGCAGATAAGCTTATACAGCCAAAATTTGTCTTATGCAGCTAATTTTTGCTTGCATTAGCTGGTCGGCAGCTAAAAGTGTTTGTTGGGAAGATCAAAACCCTTACGTTGTATCCGCGGGATCGTATAAGTCGTCTGATTTTACGTCCACTATGCTATGTTGAATTATACCAGGTATACGATCCCGCGAATACAACTTATATTATTATTATTATTTATGAGTTAGAAAACAAAGTGGCCACTCTCTCGGGGTGGATTCGGATGTGATCAATGCAATCTGGAACACTCGATATGTCCCATTTCGACCAGGATTTTGGTTTCAGGTTTGAATTCTAAAGTAATTAGATATATTTAGATGTGTAGCAAGATGTGTTTTTTTCCTAGTCAACTTCCTGGCAACTTCCTCGGGGTACCCGAAACGTTGTCGCATACGACCAAGTAAGTTACAAGCTGGGTCTGGCAAAGACAAATCGCAGTTACCTTCAGGCTGATGCGATGGATTTAAAAACGATAAACAAAACAAAATAGTGCGTGACTTTCTGCACCGGTAATACGTGACTGTAAGTGCACCGGTAATACGTGACTGTAAGTGCACCGGTTAAACGGAACATGATCATGGGAATTCATTGCCTTCTAGTATTTTTCCATATTGAGCTGCGAAACAGTTTGATAGCCATTATTATAGAAAATTTTCTCAGCTACATTTTTGCTGAAGATTGTTTCTATGTAAAACGAGACAGGAAAAAGTTATTAATTATTTAAGAGATTGGTAAACTTATGACATGATCAAGCAGCTGCTCTGTAGGCAACACTGTATTTTAAAGTGTGACATAGTAGCCATGATTTTTGTGTCCTATTCAACGCCCCAGAAACACCAATGTTGCCTGCTGAGCAGTTGATTGAGCATGATCATAAGACATCAGCGCATTTAACCATTGATAACTTTCGATCCTTGCATTTAATCAAAAAGTGGTCTTCTGCAAAGTTGTAGCTGGGAAAATTAAAAGCTTTTGAAGCAGACCTATATGGTGAATAATTAGATAGACATGAACAAAAATCTTGAGAGGTTAGTCAGAATTAGATTTGGAATCGTTTAAGTATTGTGGAGCGAAAATTTCAAATTTTGCATCACTCTAATACCCAGCTAAAATTACAAGAAGCGGTAGACTTTCTTTTCAACTTTATCTCAGACGTCATTTCCGTCAGAAATGCCGTTTCCGTGCTACAATTTTTTGAAAACAATCAATGGCGCCATGTTGGAAATTTCACAAGATCCAAAATGGTCAAATTTTAGCAAAAATATGAATCATTGCCCATAACAAACAATTACACCAAGTTTCAAACAAACAAAAAATTCGATGTTTTTGCTATTTTGTTAAACGTTAAAATGGTCTGAGTAATGCCAAAATGGTGAAAAAAAATTGAACGTTTTCTATAAATGTGACACTAAATTTAGTTAATTTCCAACATTTTTAAAAGATTTTCCACTTTTCAAGTTCAAGCTAACAAACAAGTTCATAACTTAGTGTTCTAAATTCACTTCCACAGTTATTGATTGAAATCTTTCGATGCCAATTCCAATGCATGAATTTGTATATTGTGTGACAAGCACAATGATACTCTATGCCCAGTCGAGATAATTTCCAACTCGAAAGATTCCCTCGACGGGACCGGGAATCGAACCCGTCGCCTCCGGCTTGGTAATACCGTGCCTTTACTGACTAGTCTATGAGGACTATGCCATCATTATTTGATTAAGAACTATTTTCATTAGCCGGCGCCGGTGGTGTAGTGATAAGCGTGACTACTTTCTCACCCCAATGGGTCTGGGTTCAATCTCAGCCGAGGTCGGTGGGATTTTTCTGAGGCATAAAAATCTCTGGCATGTCTTCCTTCGGAAGGGAAGTAAAGCCGTTGGTCCTGGCCCATGTGTGTTGAATGGGTGCGATATCCTACGCAGGTGTGGAAGCTGCCTTACATTCGATTGCCCGTCAATGGATGGTAATCGATGTCCGTCGGTGATTGGCACAAGATTGCAGAACAGAGACCGACGTTAAATAAAGGAAAAAAAAAATTGTTTTCATTAAACTTAAAAAAAAAATCTGAAGTTCTGTGACCCACATACGGACAGCTCAGGCGCCACTGGTGGGTCACGAGATAGAAAATGCTTCTTCTTCTTCTTCGCATTTCAAGCTTATTGCATATCGCATATTAGCTTATTGCGTGTTCTCAACTTAGTGTTCTAGATGCACTTCCACAGTTATTAATTGAGAGCTTTCGATGCCTGTACCATTTTTGCATTGGTATAATTGTGTGGCAAGTCCAATCATACTTCTATGCCCAGGGAAGTCGAGAAATTTTCCAACCCGAAAAATTCCTAGACCGGACCGGGAATTGAACCCAGCCACCTCCAGCATGGTCTTGCTTTGTAGCTGCGCCTTTACCGACTGAGCTAAGGGAGGTCCTCAGATAGAAAATGCTGGTCTAAGTTAGTAATGAATCGTATCATTTTAAAGCCCAATAAAGGATATTTCTTCTAGTTTAGATAAATACATAAATACACCCGTTCCATAATACCGGAAAAGATAGTCACAATCCTAGGTACAGACAAGACCGTCAATTACTACACTCTCGAGATTGTACTCCTTCATCCACCACCATCATCATCATTGTTGCCACTCAGCTCTTCGTTGCATTCCGTACGGTCGTTCTCTTTCAATTAGAACAGATTTACAATTCCGCTAGTGTATGAACAAAGTACCCGCGCACGCGTCTCACAATTAACAACGGTAAGTGCGAGTGTGCTTCCCTGTCACTGGATGTATTAGAGGATTTAAAGGGATGAAGTTCTCGTTGAAACTACAAAGCAATTCCATTGTATCATCAACCCTAGATTGTTGGAATCGTGGCAGAGCGGCCTTCGAACAGGCGTGAGATGCTGAACTGAACAGTTCATCGAGACATACGTGCCATAATTATTATACATCACATTTAGCACAGTTGAATAGCGGGATGCTGATGGAATTACAATGTCGAGCGCGTGGGTGCGGGTGCGAGTGGACTTGTCCGACGTAATATTTCAAAATTGAATGAGATCATTAAGAGTAGGAATGTTGTTAAAAATCTATTTTCGATCCGAACAGAAACTAGATCGACTGCTGTGTATTTTTTATCCAATACCACGCGTCTCCATCAAACTAACGAAATTCTATCGAGTTCCCCAGTAGTTCAACAGCATACTCACGTCGTCGACAGTTGCAGGAACAGATCCTTGTTTTTGTCGATGGTCATCTCGAACTGCAGCATTTCGTTGATCGGTGCCAAGATCCACTTGTTGTGCTGAAGGGTCGTTGGCAGGGGTGACTCGTACGCCCCGGCCAGATTGTCGTTCTGCATCAGCGCTGGCGTTCCACACGCTTTCTTGACCTGCGAAAGAAAACACCAAATTGGGATGAATTAGTGTGCCGTCTTGATGATTTATGTTGCGGTGGTGGTTGCAGTGGGACGCCAAAAATAGATGAAACCATATGCGCGCATCTCTTTCTCTGCCAAGGTTAGCTTGACCGTGGAGAAGTGATTGAGCGATTTTTGATTGAAACTGACAGCTCAAATTGAGCAATTTTTTGACCGGGTAAGGACAAGTGGTTGCGAACAGCATCCAGCTGATTTCAACTTTATAACGCCTTTCGTTGATTGTGGTGTGGGTTTAGGAACGAATCACAATGATTTAATGGTCGATTACATAGGTTGATGGCATAAATTTCAATGGAAATAAAACCATTGCCGATGCAGAAGCGTTGGCAATCTGCATATGGAGATTGCGATGCCTCTGTAAGCGGTCTTGTTCCGTGGATGGTCGGTGATCTAGTCTTGGTATGCAGAACGTTTTGAATGAATTACGACTGGATGGGATTGCAGCGTACTTGCCCGGTTGCACTTCGTTGTTCAAAATATACGCGTGCTAGTCCTGATTTGAATACTTTAGTATGGAGGTTGGGTTTGCGTGCATTGCATGTTAAAATTGAGATTAATATGGTACACTGCATTGAATCTGTGTCATATCAATTCAGAGAAGATATAGATCAAATGCATTGATTGAAGGGAAGGTTTTTTTTAGCTGTTCTGAACTGTAAACTGTGTTCTGATGAATTTGTAATAGAAAACATTCAGTTTCACTTGGTCAACTAGTAGCTTGGATCACCAAAAGGCTTTCAATCTGGGTGGCAACATCAATTAGACCTTATTGGGTGAAACGACATGGCAACATGTTGTTCAAACAGACAACCAGTTGGTATGTGTGTTTATTGTTATTCTTCAAATGGAATTTTTTCTTTTCCAATAACGAACTCGGTTGTTGCTTGCTTTGTAGCAAGTGTATTTCTATAAAGCTTTAGACTACCGGTTATACTCTGATTATGCTGTAGGTTGCCTACTTTCAATAACATAACTCTATTTATCCAAAAAATTCGAGCCCACGCTCACATTGCATTACTCTTTTGCTTGTTCAATAAATTGAACTGCTCAAACAACCGGGTGGTAAGCAACTAATCTGCATATCTGCCAAAAAAGAAACACCAAAACAGAACCAGGCTAGCCGGTTTTATTTGACAATGTTATTAGAGCTTCGGCCCCGGTAAAATCAAACAAGTTTTACCCGAACAACTCAGAGCAAAGCAAACATTCTTCCAGGTTAGTCGGAACGTCACCTACGACGAACGAACGAACGAAGCGAAGGAATCAGAGCAGCGGAAACGAGCCACAGTATCACTTAATCCCGACGCTAAAGTCAATAAGCTCGTTAAATTTAAGGAGTTTGGGAAGATGACGGCGATGCAGCGGTGAAGGCAACCTGGCAAGGATCGTTTTAGGAGGAATTCGATCGCGATTGCAAATGGGCAGTTTTTGAGTTGATGGGGACGGACGGAGGTGCTTGCCTTGGCACTGTAGAACGCCCGTGAGGTGATGCAAGCAGAGCAGTGAACAGTATAACCGAAAATCAAGCATCATCAGGACACCAACCAACCAGCAGTGCAGAGCCCCAAGAAAGCGATAAGAAGGAAGACAATAAATTATATAAGGCCGAAATAAAAGAGAGTCGATGGCGGAGGCAGAAATGGCAGAAGAAGTGGAAGACGGGAAAAGGGCAAAAAACTGCAACAAAAAGGAATGTATTTCTGATTCAAAAAATTCCAGCAAAACTGGTTTTATGTGTGTTTTATTACTTGGAGACCAAGCAGCACTTAACGAGGAAATTGAATCCGTTTCGCTGTGTGCTTGTGGGCATAAGGGAGAGGATTGCAGGGAGAGGCTTTAGAATACACTTAACCTTTGAAGGACTGGAAAGGAACTAGCCAGTTTGCATTCAAATGTTGGATCTGCACTGTGTCATGTTCATTACTGACATTCCCACATAGCTAACGTTTAATGTTTTGTGTAATGTTACACAATGACTCATGTAAATGTAAGTCTCCTAAATCAAGACAACCAACCAACCTAGCATGTAAATGTACACGCAATTTCGCTTAAATCTATTATACAGTATTCCTCCACTGAGATCAAAAGATTGGATATTCACTCGATAATCCGACTATCAAATGATCACTAGACTGATGCAAAATTTGAAATTTTCGCTCCACAGTGCTCAAACGGTTCCAAATCGGGCCCTGATTAGCCTCGCAAAATTTGAACTCATTTAGTGAGAAACTAACTTGGCACAAACCATTTGAAATTTATATGGGAATTACTATGGAGAAACCATAATTTCGGTTCACATCGATCTCAAAATTCACCAGTTCACGCTACTTTAGAAAATGATAGCTGAGCTTGTCGAAAATTTTCCCAGCTACAACTTTGGGAACACAAATCATTAATGATTCAAGTCACTGATGTCTTATGATTATGCTCAATCAACTGTTCAGCAGGCAACATTGGTGTTTATGGCGTGTAAAATAGAGGACAAAAATCATGGGTACTATGTCACACTGCAGAATACAGTGCTGCCCACTATATACAGTTGCTTAATCTTGCCATAAGATTATCAATCTCTTAAACGATTAATAACTATTTAATTTGACGTTTGGCTGAAAAACGATTTTCTGCAAAGTTGTAGCTGATAACAATTCCCATTAGAATAACAATAGAATTTGTTAACAGTACAATATGTAAAAAGACTAGAAGACAATGAACAAAAAGTTTTGTTTTCCCATACTAATTTCCATATAAACTTCAAATGGTTTGTGCCAAGTCAGTTTCTCATCAAATGAGTTTAAACTTTTGGGAGGCTAATCAGGACCCGATTTGAAACCATTTGAACACTGTGAGGTGAAAATTTCAAATTTTGCATCAGTCTACTGAGCACGCCTTCTTTCGGAAGGGAAGTAAAACCGTTGGACCCGGTTCATGAGTTGATGGATCAATAGGTAGGGTTCAGGAGTGGGAACTGCCTCCCTGGCGTGACATGGTTGCTTTTATTAGGGTACGTAAGCTTTTAGGGGGATGTCGGAATTCTCTTACGTAAGCATGATCAAGTAAAATACATTCAAATATCCTATGTGAGGTCTTACAAATGGGGAGCGGGTTTTTTGATAAATATTACTAATTATTTCAATGGAGGTGGGGGTATGAAAATCTTCAAAAAGTGGTTACGAAATTATTGCCAAGACTCCTTTGTTAAAAATAATTCTTCAGATTTGTCTTCGCATAGGTAGTGCTAATTATTGCAATAGAATATCATATTGACATTCCAGCATTTGTTATTCTTTCTGGCCTGAAAGAAATAAAATTTGAGAGATATTTTGACGTAGGACTAGGTTTTTAATTTCTATACTGGGGGTCACATTAAACTAATCAAAATCAGAAATGTATCGAAACATCTCAAACACGGACGCAACGATAGAGCGCAAATCGAACGCACGACCAGGGCTGGCAAATGTCATATTCAATGAAAGATCTCACGCGATATTTACAGAGATACTTCTGTCACTATCATTGAATCAGAAAACGATGATAGAGATTTTCTTCAAAATCTCATCGAATTTTTGTCATGACAGAACGTGACAGTGTTGTGATCATCGTAATTACTAGCTCATTTAATGCTATTACAGTTACTTGTACCGAGGAAATCTTAATAATGTTTACACTTTGCCGATTACATACGGTTGTTTGCTTAAATTCATCTAAATCAGTTAGAAATGTTGATGTCAAAACCACATATGAATTATTATCATGAGTGCTTGATCACTGGAAAATGACAAGAAAGCTAATGATAGGGCCAGTTTTCTCATAGTCACATGATGGCTGTGATAAAGGGCGAACACGAAATTATTGCGACACATTCAACAGGGCATAACTTTTTTACCATTGGGTAAAAATCAACCAAATTTTGCACACTTTCTCATTGATGTGTATTGTGTACATGCTGTCAAACTCGAAGTCGTGTTTTTCGATTCAACGAAAATGGAGGTGAACCAACGCGAGTTGAGAGAACAAATTCTTTCCAAACACCTGGAATTTCCTGACCTGTCGCACCGGCAGTTGGGAAAAATGTTGAACATTCACCATTCAACCGTCTCCAGAGTGTTGAAGCGGTTCCAGGAGCGGTTGACGTTGGACCACGGCAAAGGAGCTGGAAGAAAACCGGGACCGGAGAACAAAAAGACGGAGGGAAAGGTGAAGCGGACGATTAAAGCAAATCCCAACGTCTCAAGCCGTGATTTGGCTAAAAAGATCGGCATGTCGCAGAGCTACGTCCAGAATGCAAAGAAGAGAGCTGGACTACATACATACAAGGTACAGAACTTCCCAAACCGCGATGAGCGGCAACAATCGACGGCTAAAACTCGGGCACGGAAGCTCTACGAGAAGATGCTGACAAAATATGGCTGCTGTGTGATGGACGACGAAACGTATATAAAAGCCGATTTTAAGCAAATTCCGGGGTTGGAGTTTTTCACCGGCAAGAGCAAGTTCGATGTGGACGACAAATTTAAGAAGAAGAAAATGTCGAAGTTCGCCTCCAAATATCTCATTTGGCAGGCCATCTGCTCTTGCGGACTGAGGAGTGAGCCTTTCGTGACAAAGGGCACAGTAAGTCATTTGCTTTCGGATAAGTGTCGGACACGTAGTATGGGTGGGACAGCACGCATCGCACCAATACGAAGACGACGATGATAGCACCTACATAGACCGGAGAAAAGGCTTCCTCCAATAGACAGCATGACTGGGCCGCCGTCATCCAGTCGGCATCGACTTGCACTGGTGTGGCCACCATTTGAAAAACAACCGGTCCTGTTCAGGGCCACCAATTCATAAACGGAAAGCGTTAAGAACTAAATGATCAACATATTTGTTCCGTCCACTAGCGGTTCTACGTCAAGCTTCCGTTCGTAGGGATAAGGTTTTGGATTTACTGGGGGATCCGTGGATAT